TTGTAAGTGGTGTCAAACCTGTCACCACACCAGCCACGAGGGAAGGACAAGGCTGAGTCATGGAGGCTGTGTGCAGATGGCTAAATAAAGCGGGACAGAGCCCTCTGTAATCCTCCTGCAGGATGGTGGTGTTCCCCAGGGCGTATCTATGTCCTACACACCCCTTTTCCTGCAGAGGGGTGGGCAAGCACCTACAGGAAGCAAATTTTGGTGGTGMCAGGGCACCAGATTGTTATGGGCACCAGATGAACACAAATGATGGCACAGGGCAGGATCGTGTGTTGTCTCTGTTTAATAGATACCCACACAGCTATTTGGTTTGAGTATACACAGGGAAATTGAGGCAGAAGTACAGGGTGGCAAATCAGTCATTAATGTATTTGCTGGAATTTCAAACTACTACATCAAGTCTGCAAAAAAAAGGAATAAAATTTCCTGCAATTCCATCTCATWTTAGAATTGCTGCTGTCCCTGACTACCAGGAGGAAGAGCCTGTCATTGCTAGGCTACATGCACAAACAACCCCAAAACTCTCTTTTTATTTTATAATATGATTTGTCCTAGCTTGTCTTCTGTCAAGAGGTCAGCAGAAAAATGAGCCCCTGCACAGGCAGTCATTCACCCCCAGGTCCAATTCTTCATGGGTCAGACAAACTAGCAGCTCCACATGGGACCTCAATAAAACATTCCAAGAAAGCTCCAGGGACAGACAGTCATTAAAAGCTGTTAACAGCACCGTAATTAAAAACAAATTAACAGGAAATCTGAAATTGCCTTAAGAATTGTTTTTGTCTTGTGTCACATCTCATAAATCTCAAATTACCATTAGAATTTGACTTAGTATTTCAGAATAGCTTCAAGATCAACAAACCACTACAAGGTAGTTTAAAACCTACAAAATTTGCTTCCTTACACTAAGACCAGAGGATTTCTATGACAGTCTGAATGGAACTGATGCTTTTAAAACCCTTTMTTTACTTCAGAGGAAAGAAATAGAAAAAGAGACGATGGTTCAGTAGCTGCAGCTGTATTTGTAAGGAATATTTCTCAAGCACAACTGTTGTTTTCTGCCAAATTTGAAAGAAGTTAACCCTTTTTAGCCAAACCATGTTTCCTGTCACAGGAAGGGTTAGGTAGTTTGTGCACACTCATTTAAACAGGTTTTATTATAAGACCTAGATAATGAATGAAATAAAAATTTCTTCCAAAAGATTGTGGGTTGAATTCCCCAGCATTCTAGAAATGGTTATGCTTAAAGATTTAAATGATYTCTTCTTATATTAATACATTTGTAAAAATACTGAGACCGAGGAACTACGTAAGATTTTGACTCCATAGAACATAAAACTTGTTTCAAAATTAATTATGAACCTATGGATAGATATACGGTAATGAAACTATGGGTATCTATGATAAGTTCAGCAATTTAAAAGACAATGACACGTTTGGTTTTGCAGCGAAACAAAATTTAAACTCAGTGTGTCAGAATTGCTGAGGTTTCATTTAAAGCCTGATGCTATCAGATAGTTCATTAAAAGTTAAAATCCTATGGAAAGGTAGTTATGTGATGATGTCAGTCTTTAGTTAAAACCAATGCAATTGGTTTTATTGCAAGTCCTACCTGGATACAGAGAAAAGCTAGAAAATGTTTCCCATTTTACAGACTCAAAATCTGAAGACAAATAAAAGATCCCTCAGATAACAGACTTTAAAATTCCAGGTCTTTTGTGGACTCATCTTCAGGTTTTTTTAGAGCTGACAATCCTGATTCCTTAAGAAAAAAAAAATCTAATAATTTGCATTGTCAAAGACTGTCAGAAAATGTAGCTTGTCATTTTTGTCAGCTTATCAGGATTTTGTCATTGCTAATAGTGCAGTTTCTTTTATTATATGAGTTAGACTACAAATTTCTTCAATAAGTTTTGGATTTTTTTTTCACTTGTACACTAACATTTTTGTTTAATCTACAAAGTGATTTTCAAGTGCACCGTGTCATGTAAAGCCCACMAATTTGGGCTTCCAAACCTGCCTGCATGAAGTTAATTTCTGCTTTTTGCCAGTGTTTGAACAAAGCCAGTCCAGGACAGCAAGAGACAAGCGACTATTTTTGTACAGAATTTTAGTTCCTGAGATGTCCAGATGAGGCCACTGTGGTTTTATTATCTCGATTTCAAGAAAAACTTGATTTGGTTACCTCAGAGTTTCCCATCTCCACAACTGCAAGCATGCTCAATAGCCTGKTTTTTTTTCTGTTGGAAAACAAAGAATAGGAAATGTTTTTTTTTTTGTTTTGGTTTGTTTTGGTTTTTCTAAATTTCGCACAGAGGTTAGGATACTCACAGAGGCAGGAAGGGAACTGGACGATGAGAGCTGCAGATGTAGAATTTCTTTTTTAAATGCCCTTTGCTGCTGCTTGATGTTTGGCAGGCAGTGGAGGTGCAGCAGTGCAATAGCAGGAGATGCTGTGAGGCTGAAGCAKGGCAAGCATTTTCCTTTGACAGAGATCCCCCGGTGAGGATTTCCAGCACAGCCTGTGTTGGGCTGTATCACAGGCTGAATTTCACATGGACAGCACAGTGCAAAGCCAGGGAAGGGTACAGAGCACTTTGGCTGAGTCATTCTGTCAGGAAACGAGGATTTCTGTGCTGGGAAGAYACAGCAGGCACTGCCAAGTCCCCCGGCAGTGAACTCCAGTGTGTTTTGGAGATGGGGACAATGTTCTCATCCAAAAATATCTGGCCAGCCATGGCGGGAGGCAGTGGCTGCAGGGAGACTGTGCTTCCTTTGTGTTCTGTTTTCATTTGTTACTAAAAGTGACCCGTGGAAGAAAGAGCCCTGAAATGACTGTGGGGCCATGGTCACAGGTGGGAGCCCAGCCAGAGGGAGAAAAGCTGRTCTCTGGGAGATTCTGGCAGACGATCTGCTGCAGATTCCTCATTTCAACAGTGAGAGCAAAAGAAGGGAAATGCCTAATTTTACAAAAGCTCTCTAAAAAGCCTTTTTCTTCCCTTTGCGTTTGCCACTGCAGAAGCGAAATGCTGTGTTGAAATCCACGGATGCTCTTGAATAACAAGTGCATTTTTAACAGAAGCTGGGCAGACAACAGCCCAAAGGCAGAGCCCATGAGAGCCTCAAGCTTTTGGGCTGAAGGGCCACATTTTAGGGCCCCATCATGCAAGGCCCAGTCTTGCCCAAGCCACTGGGTTTCCTCTTTCCCCGAGAATCATATCTGTCTGCAGCATCAGGGTTTCCTCTGCCACCCTGGGCAGAGTGTGGGGATAATGGTTGACAAGAGCACTGAGTCAGAGCTTACGGCTGTGATGGCAGTTAGTAACATTTGTTTGTAAACTGACAAATAGTGGCAAAAATTGCTTGTGAGGGAGGGATCTGTGACTCGCAGGCTGCCAACTCACTCTAACCAGCCTTTTTCAGGCTCACCCAAGCACTGCAGGGAATGCAGAATTCCAGCCTCAGCACCAGTTGGTTTTATGTGGCGCAGTCCCGTTAAAGCACATGCTTTAATCACGCTGCTCCCTGTGATCCTGACAGCTTTCCTGGTGCAGGACCCCACTTGTCAGACACAATTGCAATTATACCTCCTCTCTCCCCTCTCTTCTCAAGCAGCTCTAGGAGGGACCCACAGCTCAGAGGAGATACCAAGGAGATTGAGTGGTGCTTGGCATTAAGAAGGGACTGTGGGGGTTGACTCCAAAGAGGTTGTTGGAGTGCTTTRACTCCCAGCTGCAGTTTTCTGCACAGCCCTTTAGCATCTGAGCTAATGCAAGGTTTTAAGGTGAGGATCTCTGAAATGAGATGGTAAGGGAGGGTACACTCATCATCAAATGTCTCAGAAGAGAGCAACACATCTTCCTCACCATGGATCCAATGGAGAGGAAAAGCCCTGAAAATCTTGTACTATTTGTTGCAATTTTCACCTAGTTTAAATTATACCTGAAGTTTTAGCAGATCCTTTTTACGATCCCTTTGAGTTTAAACTCAATACACACATAGTCCTGTAGCAATACAATTTCCTTTCACCAGCAGAGTACGCTTCAGCTGTTGATGGGTATTATTATACCTCACTGCTTCTTTCCTCCTCATCAGCCCCTCCTATCAGACCTAAATGTCACTTYGAGTTCAAGCTGTTTGACTGCTAGTACCCCTGTACCCCACAATAGCTCAGGAAGGTGTGAAAGTTCACAGGCAAAGGGGCATCAAGAGGCTCTATTTTCTAGAGCACAAAAGAATCAGACCCCAAAAATCTGTCTGAGGGATGTGAAGGCAGCACAGGACATTTAGGACAGAGTGATTTGGTTAGAATTGTGTGGAATGGCTGCTCACACTTGGTGCCGTGGGTGGCAGGAAACCATCCAAGTGGGCACAGATACYACTGCAAAATGTCACTACTGCAGTGAAGTTGGTATGCTTTCTGGTAAGAAAGAGGTCAATCCTCACCACAAAGGACATATAAAAGCTGAAACCTTTTGTGAACTTTTTTTTTTTTACTAAGCAGAAAACAAGGGCTGACATAAAAACTCTTTATCAGTGTTTTTGCAGCTAAATTTTCTGATAGACTGGTAGCTACGTCAGAGAACTCAGGAGCCAAAATAAAAGTGATTATGAAAACACCATTTAAATCTGAATAGAAATGATGGCTTCTTTGCTTGTTTTCTTCTTTAGCTTGCTTGTTTGTTTTTTTTTGAAGTCACTCGCTAATTGTCCTGCAGCCATGGYATGTACCAGATAGCCAAGAAAGCTGACATAGTGAAGTTATATACAGCATCCTTGTGACCTTTTTGCAGTGAAGATACATATCTGTCCAATAAAGCCCARGCCAAATGACAGTGACAGCTGTCTTGTGGCATTCAGCTTGAATTGAACAGGTTTGCTCGCAAGTCRGGAGCAAGTGTTTCATTACAGACTGTGCACCAAGATCAACACAAGCCCCCAAAAGTGAAACTTTCCCTCAGCACCTATGGAAACTGTTCCGGTGGACTGAGATGCACTTCACAGGCTCCTCCTTGTCTCCTTGCTTTGACTTTCCCACCTCCTGCAGGCTGTCATCCCCTGTTGGCATTTGCATATTGCAAGGGAATAAAACCTCGGTTCCCCCAGACAGGAACCAGAGTGTTATGGGAACGGAGCACTCGAAGGACGAGGGCCAAAGGAGCATGGTTTTCCTCAGGAAAGGCCCAAAGCTGCCTGCRTGGGAAGACGCCCTTCTCGCTGGGAAAGAGCCCAAATCTCTGCTGAAACGGGGCTTGCGTTATGTCAGCTTGAGCCTCATYATGAAAGGGATGACCAGCACGCCTGACTTCTTGTGGGGACTGCACGAGGTGCAGAAGCTGAACCTTTCACGCAACCAGCTGGTGCTGATTCCTCCTGCKCTGGGCAAGCTGGACAGGCTGGTAGTGCTGAACTTGGGTGGCAACTGCCTCAAGAGTCTGCCCAAGGAGATCGGGCTGCTGCGCAACCTGAAGGTCTTGTTCGCCAACATGAAYTGCCTGAAAGAAGTGCCGGCAGAGCTCAGCTTGTGCAGGAAGCTGGAGGTTCTGAGCCTCTCACACAACTGCATCTCGCAGCTGCCTCTGAGCTTCACCGACCTGACGAGCTTGAGGAAACTGAACCTCAGCAACAACCGCTTTGCGCAAATTCCCCTCTGCATTTTCGCYCTGAGGAGCTTGGACTTCTTGCACCTGGGGTCCAACAAGCTGGAGAACATTGCCGAGAGCATCCAGTATCTGGTGAACCTGCAAATCTTTATCGTAGAAAACAACAACATCCGCAGCCTGCCGCGCTCGCTGTGCTCCATCGGCAGCCTGGAGCTGCTGAACGYGGATTACAACGCCATCCAGAGCCTCCCCGACGAGCTGTACCTGCTGCGCCGGCTGCGCCGCATCGCCTGGAACCCCATGGACAAGGGCCTCCACATCGCCCACAACCCCYTGGCACGGCCCCTGCCCGAGGTGGTCGAGGGAGGGCTGGATGTGCTCTTCAACTACCTCAGGGACAAAAAGGAGCACAACTGAGCTTCGGCTGGGAGTGGGATTAAGCTTGTCATCAAGACTCAGTCGCATCAGAGAGCTTTCCAGCACAGGCATTTCCACTTCATAATGCTTGGATTTTGAAGGCTGTGGATGGCTTTAGTAACAGGTGGAGGAAAGCAAGTAAAGTGTGATGGTCTTGATTAAATGTGTGAAGAGCRAACTTTCTAAAAATAGCCACCCCTGTAACCTTCACTGTTGTGGTACTTGGGGTACTTGTAGGAGAAAAACAACAACAGTGAACTTGYGATAAAATATTTGCTCTTCCTTTGACAGAAGCAAATTAAAGCGGACTGCTAGACGTGCAGAAATATGTATTTGACAACTATTAGGKTGGAGAAATATTAATATAAATGTGACTTTCTCTCTATGATTGCAATTGCATTTCTCCTCCTGTGCGCTTCTTTCCACACAGGTAAACCACTACATAAACAAACACTGCTATCAAAGTGAATCTCAAGGAAAATGTTTGCTTTTGGCAGTGGATAGATCCTGAGCTATATTAGCTCACAGACAATATATTATGAACCAGTTCAATAGCGTATGTTGTTTATCCCACAGCTGTGCTATGGCCTGTATAAATTACAGGTAGAGATTGCCACTGATGAGGCAATTTCCCAGTTCTTTGGAAGTAGATCCCAAACTTCCCCAGAGATCCTAATTCCCTTGGTGAGACAAGCAGCCCTTCCCATGGAACCTCCTAGGATGCTGACAGCAGTGCTTCACATCAGCTGGGAGCAGCACCTGCACAAAGCTGAGAAAGGACTGTGGGTCCTTCCCTCACAGGGTCCTTCTCCCACACAAAGGATGGAGTTGCTCACTGCAAAATATAAAACTGCTCTCCATTCCCTTTCCCGTATCCCTGCAATTGCAGCTATGGAGTAACTCTGCTCAGGAGGCAACACATCTCCTAAAGGTGAAATATTTCTTTCAGGAAAACCAGCATCAACCCAGTCATCATCTTAAGTAAGAGCTTCGAAAACAAATAGTTATTTCTGGGATTCTCAGTATCAGCCAGTAACATAAAAGTCAGGTCTTATGTGGTTTCTCATATTGATCTTCTGTGAATGTCCTTCATCAAAGTTTTATCTGGTCATAAAGAGGCAGTATGAAAGAGCTGTTAACAATTTATGCAACTTGGGGATCTTTGTTCCTCACCACAGTGTATAACATAAGCAGCTCTGTTGAAATCAGTTGAGATAAATGCTTGTAATGGCAGTGTAAGAGAGGAATGAGACTGTAATTTTTGAGCTAATTAAGAGTATTCAAAGCCATTTTCAAAGTGCTTCCTATGTCAAATCTCAGGAATCAATGATTGCTTTCTAAAACATCATTTGTTCAAAATTATGGAAGGCTGTGAAAGACTAATCCTGCTTTGAGTGAAGCTAATGGACAATCCCTGGCTGAACGAAAAACTTCTCAGCAGAGGTAGGAGCAGCCTGAYAACAGCAGACAATTATGTAATTCAYAGGYACATGCAAGTAAACRCAGCACTTTTGGCCAYACTGGCATTATTGCTGTGGTATTGAACGCCAGCAATGAGGAATCAGTGCTCACAGAATATTCCACTCTGGGTCTGCCTGCCCTGATATTTTGTTTTCTGTTGGACTGTGTTGTGTATGATTTGTTACCTTCATTGGGAATTTCAGTGTTAGGCCCAGAAATCRTAGTCTCCAAGTGTGCAAGACAAATCTTACGTTTCTAGCAAACATGAAACTTTTTTGAAGGGCATATTTGCTCAAACACTAAGCAAATAAAACAAGAAAACAAACAGCAAAGCACAAATATTTTGTGAGTTTTTTTACTTACTATATGTTTAAAATGCAAATATATTTTACGTGCARCCCTACATGTATTTATCTCACCCATGAAGACATTCAGCTTTTTAATGAACAATGTCTCTAATAAATTAATATGTGATCCCATTAKCAACAAGGAATAAAGCCGCAATTATTTTTAGAAATACCAACAGATGATTCTTGGAGAGGATTAGGCACAGATTATTAACTTTTCTAAATGTCCATTTCATATCCCTAAGTCTGGCATTCACATAAACACTGCAATATTGCTTCGCAGGAAAATTAGATGCCTGTGGCATTAATCACCTGAGAAGATTTTCCACGTGTCAGTACCCAGGATTWTATGACACCAGATAGCTTCTGATATGATCTGGCTACAAGAGGTATGCACAGTAATTTACATGGAAGATGTGAGGCTGGACTGTGTGTGTTCATTATGATACCACTGCAAGGGTGAGAAACAGCGAACGATTCAAGAAAATGATCCCCAGACAGAGGATTAAAAGGCAAATTTGACATAATCAAATGCATCTGCAAAAGCAGTTATAATGTGAAGTGCAATACCAATAATTTAAAATTAAATTATTCAATTGAATAATAATGACCTTTTACTCAAGCTAATAAACCTTTGTAAGCATATGAAACACATAAAAGTGGCTGCCTTTTTAAACAGAATAATAAAATTGATTGAATAAATGGTACTTTAATGTATAATTCAGATTTCGCCGTTAAGAAAATAATTTCTACTGATATGCTTTAGTCTTTTTTTCATTCCTCAGCCAAGACCCTTATAAATACCTTTCTCAGACATACAGAAAATTATCTCACATAACCAAAGGGTGTGTTCTGAATTCTTCCCATAAAAAWGAAAGCCTGGATACCACTGTTATTATATAGAAATGCCCATGAGAGGCAAATAATGACATATGTATTTGCATCTGAGAGGGAGCACGACTGAAGAAGCAAGCAAGAGCAGAGGAGGGAGATAAAATGTGTAACGTCACATGCTGGCTCTAGTTTGAGGCAGGGCATTAGAAAAGAATTGGTGGATCTCAGAGTTGTCATCTGATATTAGCTGTGCAGATGGCAGGGCAAAAAGGAACTGAAAGGCTGCAGGGCCTGGAGTCATATCTCATAATACATGACAACAGCACCACTTCTGTGTATATCAAATGATACAAGTTTAATTTTATAATCTTTTTGAGAACTGTATGCGGAATATTGTTCTTGTTCCTAGCAAGCACTGAAATTTTTCTCATTCTAAGCCTCACAGCAGCATAACTTCTGATGTATCCATTATTTTTGGTGGTGGTAGTGTTCTTCAAAGGAATGGAAAATGTGGGACCCACTTCTGGTGTGCTGGCTTTTCTATGGCTGTCACTCAGAGAAGCTCTCGAGGTGCTTAGAAAAACTCTTGATGTGGACAAAAAAAAAGAAGAAGGGAAAAAAAAAAAGAACAAAGTAAACAAAATAGAAAGAACATAGTCAGAGGTCAAGTTGGTTGAGATAATGTAATATACAATWGGGCTGCAGAATTTGCTACCCAGCTGTCATCAACCACACTGGTGATACATTTGGTCTGATCTGGTGAAAAGGTTCGATCTATTTTTGTTTTCAATTGAAAGGAAAGCTACATTCTGTGAAAAGTTTAAAGTCTAGTCAACAAGCAAAGCCTTTGAAAACTGGAAGGTTTCAGGCTTTTTGCCTAACCAAAGGCCAGGAACAGCAGTTCAGTAAATGAGCAAAGCAGCAAGAACCTACAAAGACCAATTTCCAAGATATGGAAAAATTCCAAGATATGGACTGAAGTGGCACTTCAAAATGGAGTTTTTCAGAGTCCAGTTGAAACATCATGACATTCAAATTTAAAAGTATATGATTATTAATATGGTTGAAAAACATAYCTTTTTTTGTCAACTTGCCAGTATTTTCTCCATAGTTTTTTCTATTTTTATCAAAATTTCTGTTTCTTTGTCAACATAAAAAAAACAGTTTCTAGTCTTCTTACTACAAAAATATGCATTCTGAAGTTTAAACTTTTAAGAATATAAATCAATTAATTTATTATTATGGTTCAGGTAGAGGAAGGGAGGAAGGCAGGAAGGCAGGAAGGAAGGGAAGGAGGAAGGAAGGGAGGGAGTGAGAAAGAGAAAGAGAGAGAGAGGGAGGAAGGAAGGAAGGAAGGAAGGAAGGAAGGAAGGAAGGAAGGAAGGAAGGAAGGAAGGAAGGAAGGAAGGAAGGAAGGAAGGAAGG